AAAAAAAAACATTGAGACATACTTTTGTCTACGAGTATTCTTGATTGCGCTGTTATGATACATAAAATTGTGATCTAAAATTCATTTATGTAATCTCAGTGCTTTTATCTTGGATTGTGAAGGGTAAGCTGTATTTGAACCAATCTAAGAAAATTTTAAAAATTGGAGCCAAAATATAGCTTTAGACGTTCATCGAGAACGTGACTGAAAACTTGAAAAAAGCGACATTAATGTTACTGTCAAGGCTGTTGTTACGAGCACATAAGCGTTTGTACTATTGTTTAATTCAAAAAGAGCGAGATTCAAGAACGATCTGCAAGGTCGTTCTTCCTGAACATTTTTTCTTTTTTTTTTACAATTTTGAAAAAAAGACAATCGGAGACATCATCGGTTATGCTGTATGCAAGAAGCTTCACTGCTTATCAGGCAATTCGGCCTTCGTGTATTACATCAGAAATGATACTTGCATATTGCTTATCCAAACTCGAAGATTTCAATGTGTAGCTGCTCCGAATAAAGAGAATAAAAACGCACGTTATGTTGCAAAATAGAAAATTCGAAATGGACTCCAACTAGGAACACATGGAAAAATCCCCGGCTTGCTAGTCTCAAGAAATTTAGGTTCTCGCTTTGAGAACTAGTAATGTAAACAGTCACTAATTAGTAATAAACCAAACTATTAAAAAGGCAGATTAGATCTTTTTCTTGTTTGCTGAAAAAGCTGAATTATTCATGTAAAAACTCCCTCTTTAAGCATGTTATGCAAGAAAAAACTGTAAAAGTCAAGCTACACTGTTTCTCTCTCACTTACTTACTTAGATACTTAGATGGCCTGTCTTCACTCGCCGTGCAGACCCCAACATTGTTTGCATCCTACCTTCATCCACAACGCTGGTATTGAACTGCGGCGGCGATCACGAGGTCCAGATCCATTGGTCGCTACCAGCTGAGAATTCAGCTGGTCCATCCGTGTAACGAACACGTCAGCCCATCTGCCTCCCCTCGAGAACGTTTTGCTTCGCGAGGAATCCATTCCAGAGTTCTTACTCTCCATCTGTCGTCTGTTTTTCTCATTATATTACCAGTCCATCGATTGGCCTTAGAGACGCATTTCGCTGTCGCGAAGACGAGACATTGATCTCATATCTGAATTGCGAAGTCCGACGAAATGTTGATTGCGTCGGTTTTACTTCAGAAGACGTCGTTCCAGCGCTCTGTGGGCTGTCGAAGTGCCTTCGACGTAGCCACAGTGTCAGGCCACGTCTTTGCTGCGTAGCGCAATGAGAACGGCTGAATCGAACAGGTGGGTTCGGAGCTCCGGGTCGGTCAGTTGGTCTGTGGCTTCCTTTAGGGGCCCGAAGGCGGCCCATGCTGCTCTTCGCCTCGTGTTTAGTTCTTTTTTTTCAGATTATTTTGCATGTTCATCGAACGCCCGGGATATGCGTAAGAAAACGTCTCTACGATTGGAGAGCCTTCTAATTCCATATCGCAAAAAGCGTTCTTCATGAACTGAGTCTTCTTTCGGTTGATTTGCAATCCGCTTCCCTAATTCGTTAAATTCTTTCAACATCGTCTCCGCTTCAGTGATACTCAAGAAGAGAACAATGTCGTCCGCAAAACGGAGGTTTGAGAGGAGTCTCCCATCAACTCATAATTCTCTTTTCAATCCAGTGGTTTCATCACCCACCAACGCGGCGGTAAACAGCTTTGGCGATATGTCGCCTTGTCGAACCCTCTTCGAAATTGGTATGTTAAGGGAGCGATAAAAAAGCTATAACGTTGTAGAGCAGTTCTTGTAGCAGACAAAGTGGCATTAGTCTCGACTCTGCGAAACGCTTTCTCATAGTCAACGAAGGTTAGGACGAGAGGTACTAAACTGTCTGGATGTGATCCACACAGCTGAATCCCTGGCAGAATCCAGCTTGTTCTACAGGTTGGGCTTCATCCAGTGTCCTTGATATGCGAGCAAGAATAATCTTCGTAA